CTTGGTTAAATCGGGTAGGTTTGTGTATACCAGAGTGATTTTTTTCTTCGATTTTACATATAAAATTATGCACGAAGATCATTATTTTTATATATGAGTGACATTTGACCCCCTGTAAATCCGCAATGTCCTGCGACTGATATATTAAAAATAATAAAATACAGTAATAAAATAATATAACTACAAAACAAAAAAAAATATTAGTGCTGGTCCATTTTTTTTAACATAGTATGATGCAAAAAGTAGATTAAATTCACCGTATAGTAAATATATCATTTTTTTTAGTAAATAATTTTTTTTACAGATGATATCCTTAACAATACTTTGTATTTCAAAAAAACCATTTACATTGTCTACCAAACCGTCCCAGGGTAAATTTCATAATATAAAAAAGTCCACCAAATCGTCCCACTATATACAGTAGGACAAAAATACTATAGAAATAGTCAAATAACTGATCTATAAACATAAATATATATATACACAGTGAATCTCGATTTAACGGATAGTTTGGGCAATTAGGGAAAATTTTCCAAAAATCCGTTAAAACCGAGATTTTTAATTAGTATCCGCTAAATCGAGATTCACTGTGTATATATACATACACTATACATGATATGGTAATTAGCCAATTACCGTAAATACGTAATTCGTAATTAACTTAATTAATTACCACTTTCACTCTTTAAAAACGTAATTACGTAATTAATTACGGGAGACAAATTAATTACTATTGTGAAAATTTTCTATGCAAACCGTTGTTAACACTATACATGGGATGGTAATTCCTAATTACCGTAAGTACATAACACGTAATTATCGTAATTAATTACCATTTTCCTCTTTAAAAAACATAATTACGAAATTAATTACCGTATTGCAGGCGACGAAATTAATTACGGTGACGAAACTAATCGACGAAATTAATTACGGTGACGAAACTAATTACGGGGGATGAAATTAATTACAGGTGACGAAATTAATTATGAATTGAATAACAACGAATTAATTATTGGAAATATCATAATACAAGTCACTCCCGTTATAACAACACCCTCGTACAAGCAAAAAATGTCAGTATGACGAGAATGTCATTATAATAATAACGGGAGTTCATATGAGAATCATTATCATGTGATTTTGTAATTTTATTTTTATTATATAATTTCCTTATGTTTTTTCAGAAATGTGAATGATTTTGATTGGTTCTCCCATTAACTGACATGTCATTATAACAGAATAAATTCTATAATTCTAAAAAAAGTTGACAAATTATGTCATTATACTAGTATAACGAGATAAATAATAGGTGTCATTTAATTTCGTCACCCGTAATTGATTTCGTCATCCGTAATTGATTTCGTCACTCGTAATTGATTTCGTCACCCGTAATTAATTTCGTAATTAATTTCGTAATTACGTATTACGTATTACGTATTACGTTTTTGGCAAAATAATTACCATAGCATGTATAATTACTAGGTAATAGGAACTCAGATCCAGTATTAATGAAGTTGTTTATTAAAACTAAGTGAGAATTATCAGAATTAGATTTAGAATTAGATTTAGAATTAGATTTAGAATTAGATTTAGAATTAGATTTAGAATTAGAATTTGAATTTGAGTTTGAATTTGAATTTGAATTTGAATTTGAATTTGAAAGAGGTCTTGAAGATATTTGTGCTATCTGATTAATAGGTATAATTAATTAGCTGGTTATTTTTAGGATGATGTTATTTTATTTTAAACATGAGTCAAACCAAGCACATTATGAAAGCCATACATTTTTATAATAGAAAGTTATTAGATTGTAGGAGATGATTGAAGTTTTTTTGTGAGAAGTAAAGATTGGATATATGGGGTTAATTAGAGATGATGAAATTGATCCAGATGCAAGCATTTATTATTAATTAATATTACATACAGTCAGAACTCAATAATACAAATTTTTGTTATAATGAAGTTTTTCTAGTTTACCTATTCATTTATTAATAAAATCAACTCAATAAGATAAACATTCCTATTGTTTCACTTAATTCGTATTTGGCTGATCATGTGTAGAAATCTATTGTAAAATTGCAGAAATAATATGTTTTAATTCCAATATTATGCTTGACTTTATTCCATTTTCATTCATTCCATTGACAAAAATATCAATGAAGCCAAAGCAACATGCTCCTATTTTTTTTGACCCATTGATTATGAGATGTACTTCAGATCAGTGTGATTGGTTGGAAGTAGAAATTCTATTGCAGTCTGAAATGCAAGCTTGTTATAATCTCTAAATTCTCCAAAGAATTTGGATTTGTGATAATTTAAAAACCAGTCAACAAATGGTGAAATGTTGCCTTGCAATATTGTTTCATATGCGAAATGTTTATCATCAGGATTGTTGTCTATAAAATCTAACTATTGGAAGAATAAAATTAATAATTAAACAAGAAAATTTATCAATAAAAAGAACAACTAGGTGCACCAATCCAGTAGATTTTAGTTACTCTTGTTAGATATAAGAACAATTTTCTTATAGATTTTTTCAATGAAGGTAAGAATGCCAGATACATACTGCCAGGATGTGGCCACCAAATATTGGGGTGTTACACATCAGTATAAACACAAACATAGTTGAGCACACTTATAAAAAACTATATGTAAGGATTT